GTGGCCCTGGTGAGGGGTGTGGGACCCTCTTTCCTCTCTCCTTCTCTCTCCCTCTCTCCGTCTCTCACTTTCCCTCCTTCTATCTCTGTCTCTCTCTGCCTGTATCTCTGCCTCTGCCTCTCTCTAGTTCTGCCTCTGTTTCTGTCTCTGTCTGTCCTTCTCTGTCTCTATCTCTGCCTCCATCTCTCTCTGCCTCCGCCTCTCTCTATCTCCGCCTCTTTCTCTATCTCTCCCTCTCTGTGTTTGTCTCTGTCTCCGCATCTGAGTCTCTGCCTCTGCCTCTGTGTCTCTGCCTTTGTCTCTGACTCTGTCCCTCTCTGTCTCTGCCTCTCTGTGTTTGTCTCTATCGCTCCCTCTCTGCCTCTATCTCTGTTCCTCTTTATCTCTGTGTCTCTCTGTCTCTGCCTCTGTCTCTCCCTCTCTGTGTGTCTGTCTTCTGTCTCTTTGTCTCTGAATCTCTGTCTCTGTCTCTCTCTGTCTTCTGTCTCTCTGTCCCTGCCTCTCCCTCTCTGTGACTCTGTCTCTGTCTCTCCCTATGTCTCTGCCTCTGTCTCTGTCTCTGGCTTCTGTCTCTTTGCCTCTGAATCTCTGTCTCTGTCCTCAGTTGCTCGTTTGCTCTGCCTGCTCTGTCTCTCCCAGCCGCACAGTGTCTCTTGCCCACTCCCCATCCATGTCTCTCTTCCATGCACCTGCTCTCCATTTCTGGTCCTCTCTCGCTCCCTCCTTCTCCTCCTCGTTCTCTCCCTGCTCTCGCGGGCTCCCCTTTGCTCAGAGCCCAGCTGGCCTGGGGGATTAGCAAGGCCCCGGAGCGGAGCATCGGGGCCTCGACTTCCGCCCGGTAGCTGCCCAGGGCCACAGCCGAGGCACGGCGGGCACAGGGGGCAGACGGCGTGGCCTCCGTGGCCCTCCCTGGACCGGGTCGGCCTCAGAGGAAGCAGGGGCCCCAAGGGCCGAGCACCCTGTGCCCAGACTTATCTGGGGTCCCACCGTGTACCAGGCTGGAGTGGCGGGGCGCAGGCTGTGGTGCGGGGGGAGGCCCTGACCTGAGCTGAGCAGACAGGGCGGGAGCGTTGGATGGGGAACAGCCAAGGGCCCTCCCGCGCCCCACGCGCAGCCAGAGCCCATCCCAGACCCCC